TAACTGAAGAGTTTGGGCTCTGAGACTGTGTTGCTTGGGTCTGGACCGAATTATGTATCGGAGTGGTGTATCCCAATACAGCGGAACGCGAAGGAAGACATGATAATGACTTTTTAATGAGATACCCTCAAAGTGACACTTTGCGTCTTGTACATCCCTTGGTTTCACGATGCTTGGTTCCACTGAATGTTCGCCCTCTCTGTTGCCAGGTGGCCGCCAGCATCATTGCACTGATCGACTTGGCGCAAGAGCGACGGTATTCCCTTCGCAACATTCAGAACATCCATTCTCCACTAGAGGAGGTGACGGCAGGCCTGACGACCAAGTGGCTTCCGGCTCAGCCGAACTGTCCAGCTTGCACTGGTGGATGTGGATCGCTGCAAAACTACCCGGTAGGCGGTTTTTTGGTTGATTATGATGATGGGATCAGCTGAGGAAGGCTGTTCGAAGTCAGCATTCTAAATGGCATTGAGGCACGCAGGAACATGTGCTCAGCTTTGGAGAAATTACATTATTAGTCGAGAATTTTAGATAAAATTTAATCATACAAATGTATTAGTTCAACAAAACTTAGTTTATCCTAAAGCCCAAAAAATAGACCAAACAATACACGAGGATCGCATCTTATTGATAGTGCTATAATGAATTTATTGAAAAACGTTAACTTTATTCTTGCAAGATTTGCTAATTATCTCGGTAATACCTGAAAATTAATTTTTGGCTTGGATTATTTCGAGGTAAAATGTGCAATAAGGTCATTCGCTAGTCGAGGTTGTTCGGCCTAACTGCGGCATTCAGGCCGACACATTCCTCAAGACAGCCACCTTCGATTGCGTCGACCTGAACGTCTCAATGACACCAAACAACTTCACCGTCGCCTTCCGGCAAGATCGACTCGGGAATAATTTCACAATACAACTTCACTGAAAAATTAAATTCCAGTCAAGACTGATGTGCTAGAAACTTCATCGAAAATCAGTTTCCTTTATAAATATAAACATATATAAATATATATTTATATATATATTAATAGTGATTTATTTATTATTTCCATTATTAAAGTATTTTGCTTTATGTAGCATACGTATACTATTAAATATATATTTAATTTCCCTCATATTTTCGAATGAAGTAAACACATTACATAACAGGCAGTCTAAAAATATTCTACATGGAATAATACAAATAAATATATGTACGCAAATACCAATACATATAAGAATGTAAGTACATATTTATTAATTTTATTAATTTTATTTTTTGTCGGTATAGCCAGGCCGCAGTGAAGTATGGTCGGCTTGCGAGTAGGAAGATTACATCAAGTTTTTTAGCAAATATGGAAAATATATAGAAAAACTGGGTTTCAAAGAATCCCTTAATAGATTGATGTCGGAGTGCCTTTCATTTCGTTTGAATAGGAGAAGAGGAAGAATTCGTGAGTTGGTTGCACCGGAGGCTGGGGGGGTTTGCCTTGAGCTGTGGTTGTAGACTTGTGCGAATAGGTCTTCGACGCGCGTCCTGGGACCCCGAGGAATCCTTGCTGATGCTTCGTCCGTCATGTGAGGGACATCGTCAGAGAAGGGCACCACGCTTTGCGATAATTCACCAAAAACACTAAGACAAGAAAGGTGGTGGGATCCAAACCCACCTACATCGTATAGTCCAATGTGGTTCGCTTAGGCATCCCATGTTTTGATTGGATGTTCTACTTACTTACGAATCCCTTCAACTCACCTCTTCAAACGAATTGCAAGTAACTCCAACATAAATATGGAAGGCTCTTATCTGAAGACAGAATAGAAGACGAAAGGTAACCGATTATGGCTTGAATTTTAAGATTAAGCGCATCAAATAGAACGTCATCGAAGTTTGAATCTTCGTTGGTAAGTTACGCCCCTGCAGATGATTGTTAACTGCTTCACTCTCACTTACTCACTGTCGTACAAGGAGACAATCATGAGATATCTTGAACTGTACAGAAAGACCGGCCCAATTGACAGGGTCCAGGCTCAACGTGAAGCACAACTGCTGTGTCTTAAGAAGATGCGCAACGCTGTGACTAACCTACAAAGTTGCAGTATTAAACGGCATGTTTGCATCTAGTTGCAAGTGTTCACTGTCACCGAAGGTCAGTTTACGCAAAACCTTTATCACCTTACTTCCCAGCCGACAAGATTTCTTCTGCCAGGACATAGTGAGCAGAGACGACGGAAAGAGATCAAATTATAATATCAATGTTGATAGAAAAAGTCTTCCTCACCCTCGAGAAGCATAAGCACCAAGCTACCGAAAACATCGATAATTCTTTAGCTCCCAAAGGTCGAAAGTTGCGCCAAAATAAGGGAAATGATAACCTCTAAGGAGGGTATATTTGTGCTCTCTTGTCTGAAAATAACATTATGCAATGCTCAGCGGTTGACGCATCAATTTACGTCTTTCCACACATTCACTCCAAGAATAAGATAAATTTTGCATGGATACGAAGCTAAAGAAGTGTCTTCTTCATGCCCCCAACTGAAAAGTCATTGGAAGCATTGGAACTGATACCAGATGGCCAGATTATCTCATGATATTGCAGAGGCAGTGATTGTAGTAAAGGGCTAGTTTCCCCTAGACCCATTTAATAGAAGTCTGACCTCAGGTTTGACATTGCTCGTCGTTCCAGCAGACGTCTCTTTTGGATTC